CATCCAAATGAAAAAAATTAATCTTGACTCCTACCTTGCACAATACATAAAAATAATGTGAAATGGATCAGAGGCCTAAAAGTGAAAATATAAAACCTCCAGAAGAAATCATAGATGTTTGTGACCTTGGGTTAGACAGAGACTTCTAGGCTAGAATACACACACACACACACACACACACACACACACACACACAAAAAAAAAAACCCACAATCTTTAAATTAAATAGTGGATAAGGTGAGGGTAATCAAAATATAAAACTTCTGTTCTTTGAAAAAACACCATTAATAAAATAAAAAAGAAAAGCCACAAGCTGGGAGAAAGTATTTGTAAAACACGTATCTGATAAAGGTCTTATATTCGGAAGAAATAAAGAGCTCAAAAAATAATAAGAAAACAATCAATTTTTTTAAATGGGAAAAAATTTACCAGACACTTCAAAGAAGAGACACAGATAGCAAGGGAGAACTTGAAAAGATATCTAAAAATAACATTGTCAGTAATTAGAAAAATGCAAACTAAAACTATAACAAGATACCACGTAACTACTATTATAATGGCTGAAATTTAAATTAAAAGGAAAAAACAGCTGATAATACCAAGTACCAGGGAGGATACAGAAGAGCAGTTAAAACTCTCACACATTGCTCATGGAGTTCTAAGATTGTATGGCTGGTTTGGAAAAGAGTTTGGCAGTTTCTTATGAGGTTAAACACAGACCTAAAATAGAATCCAACAATCTTATTTGCCCAAGGGGAAGAAAACTGCCCACACAAAGACTTTTCTGCCCCAAACTGGAAACAACCCAAATATCCACCAACTTGTGAATGGATAAGCAAACTATGGTGCAGTGGAATGTTACTCTGCCATTAAAAGGATAGAATTAGTGATCCAGACAACCATGTGGATGATCCTCAAGAGTGTGATGTTAAGTGAAAGAAGCTAAACACAAAAAGTTATATATTACGTGATTCCATTCATATAAACCTGGAAAAGACAAAACTATCGGGACAGAGAAAAGACTGTTGGTGGCCAGAGACTGGGTGTGTGGGTGGGAAGGACTGACTACAGAGGGGCAGGAGGAAATTTTTGGGGTGACAGAATTCTTCCACATCTGGATTGTGATGGAGGAGCCATAATGTACACTTCCATAAAAACTCATCATTCAGTAGTCCTAAAAAAGATGACTTTTACTGTATGTAAATTACACTTTACCAAATTTGATTTCAAAAAAGCAAAGAACAATGGTAGCTCATGGGTGTGCTCTCTGTTCAGCATGACATTTCAAAACTTGGAATCAGCTGGTGACCTTTGAAAACAAGGAGATTCCAAATAGAGATCAAGTTTTCTAGAGGAATCAGAACAATGGCCCTCTGAGCCCCAAACCCCTGTAGGACCTAACTCATGGAGGTAAAGTACCTCACCAACCTGTCCCTGCCCCCTGACAAACTGCCCCTGGCTTGCGCTCTGCTAAACCTCAGTGAAGAGCCTGGTAAATGCCAGGTGCTCCATGAATCCTGACTTGTTTGCCACCTTCCCACCAGCCGAAACAACTGATTCCTACAACACCCAGACTGCCGACTGCTTCTTTGGTCCTGAAGTCCTCAAAGAGAGTTGCCACCCATGGCAGGCATGCCATCACCTAGAATAATGTGTCCCTCTGTGTGCTTAGCAATCCTCTTTCATATGTTGTCAAGCAACAAAAATGTTTTAGGGTCATTCCAGCTATTCATTTTTGTCCAGAGAAGAGTGGAGTTGTTGTTTGTTTAAAAAAAAAAAAAGAAAGAAAGAAAGAAACCCACAATAGGGGCTTGAAGGTTAATGAAAATGAGAGGGAAGTGTGCACAGCACTTGGCACATTCTCAGATCATGCAGTAGTGTAAGATGCAAGTAAGTCTGGGGGGATTCTCTAGTCATCATCAGGACTGCAGGACCTCAAAGTTGCCACCACAGTGATGTTCACTTTGAGGACAGGATGTGACAGCAGGGAAGGGATATCTGAGTTCCATTTTGTGTCACCATTAAAAGTACAGTACTACTGTTCCCAAGATGTACTTTGCCTTGTTGGGAGTAGGGATGGGAGGGGAAGCAAAGTCTGGGACATCTTGCTAAAGTATCTCTGAAGTGCTGTTGATCAATATAAGTTCAAATATATTTGCTTGGGCCATCTATATTTGGGGGAAGCACCAAATCAGACATTCTTGTTGCATATCTTTAATGTTAAAATGAGAACGTATGGACACATGTCATCATATCTCTATCTTGACCTTCCTTTGACCCACCTGCCCTATTACTCTCATTATAGAGTTTCCCGTTTGCTATACCAATTTCTCTTCTTCCTTTCTCTCTTAAACCCACCCCTCTCAGGGCCACCAAACACTCCCATCTGCATACCCAGCCTCCATTGCTGCTAGTCCCCACCTAACCCCGCTCTTAGTAGCATTTCTTAAGCTTATCGCTCCTTGCTCCTCAAACACTTTCTTCCCTTGGCTTCTGAGAATTTCTTTCTTTTGAGAACAAGTCTTGCTTTGTGGCTCAGGCTGACCTTGAACTCATTATGAAACTAACCCAGGCTGGCCCCAAACTTGCAGCGATCCTCTTGCTTCCACCTCCTGACTGCTGGAATTACAGATGTGCTCTGTCATGTCCAGCCCGGCTTCTGCTCCCTGGGACACAGGGTGGTGAACAACTGTGACAGTACTTTTAGAAACAAATCTATTTTGGCCCATTTTTTTCACAGGCAAAAGTCTGGCTTTGCTTTGCTTAGAAAACAAGGAACAGCAACAATGCCAACGACACAAGCATAGCAAACTTGCGCTTTAAGTAGGACCTTACTTGTCACAGGTTTGGCTTCTTGGACAACTCAGCATCCCACACCTTCTCCAGTGAGGGACAGCACTGGACTGCAGCTAACTGCCAGAAAAAGTTCCAGAAGAGGATGTTCGCTGAAAGTCACAGGTGACAGCAAGTGTCACCTGTGCACCTGCCTCCCTCCTGACACCTCTTCTTCCTTCAAACCTCTTGGATGCCTTGCACGAGGCCCAGGACTTCCCCACCCTGAGATGAAGCTGCCCCAGTGGAAATTAGAGAACAACTGAAAGCAGAGAGGAGGCAGGACAGGGAGCCCAGTGTTCACCTCTGCCATGGAGAAACCCGACATGACATGGACCCAGCAGCAAATCCACAAAAATCCATGGACTCCAGAGACAGGGGGCAGATCCACAGGTGGGCTGAACCATAGAAACCAGATCATCAACAGTGACAGCAGGAAGGACACCCAAAATTTAGTACAGAGGAAGTAACAAATCCTCCCAACAAGAAGGGAAAAGATAAAGGGTTTGGGGGAGCAACATCCACTTTAATGACTTTTACCATCATTGTAATCAAAGTGACTTTCCAAGCCCTATGTTCTTGCGGCCACTACACTACAAGAAAATGGACAGCAGGACCAAAACCAAAAGATATAGATCACAAGTCTCCTAGGTCAGGCTCTGGCTGTCAGAAAGAGAAGCTAAGCAAAGTCACAGAGGTTCAGAAGGGTCGGTGTACAAAGGTTGGAAAGGAGATCAGAAATTCAAAAACAATCACAGGAAATCACTAGACATCAGGCTGAAAAGGAACAATGAAAGCCAGATTTCACATATTACAGATGGCTGAAGAGTTTTCAGGACCTGTGTGCAAATGAACAACATCCAAAAGCAGATATCTCATAAACAATCTATCAAGCTATCAAGGACCTAATACGTTTCAAACACAAACTCTGTGTATCTGAACCAACAGATACTAAGGTATGTACATGGGTCTCAGGAACTGTCTTTGAACCATTGTGCCAAATACACATCACTGGAAATTTCTACAGGAACAAAAATTGGAGCTAAAATTCTTCAGCAATCTGACCACTGAACTTAGTAACATCTATTATCAGGATAGAAAATTCTTGACACACAGACACCTCAGGTCTGTGACCCGTTAAGTGAATCAAAGGAAAATTGGATTTGAATTAAGCTGTTAAAGACAAAATATATTTTTAACCTAAAACCCTCTCATCTAAAACAGTATGTGAGCTCCTTCATTAGTATAAAATTCCTTAATTAGGAATTTTAATCTAATTTGGGGGAACAGTGTGCCGACAAAGAGGTCCTTATTAGTCCTTGCTAAAAAAAAAAAAAAACCCCACAAAACTACAGAAACAAATTACCTGAGGTGAGAGTTACATCCTTGATAAAGTGAATATACTGAGAGTCCAGAATTCCATCACAAACACAAAAGCCAGGCCTTTTGAGTGTCATAGTAATCAGTCTTATCTCAAAGACAAGTGCTGACTGCACAGCTTTAAGTTTTGAAGCACTTTGGCAGAATAATGCCACCCAAATAGTTACAAGAGATTTTACAAAATTGTCCAAAAATTACAGAAATCTGTTTCTTCAGGATTGTTTTAAGTCTAAGAGCCAAGTGTGCTTTCACTTCTAAATTAGCCTCCTGTAAACAGCAGAATATACACTTGACCACTGCCTGAATACCTTTGCCAGATGCTATCAATTATTTTAGGAACCTCCGTCCCAGAAGAAAAGAGCCCAGAGGAGGGAGTGCTATTTGGGAAGCCGGCACAGAAATGGCTTAAAACCCACACCCAGTCCCTGTAGTTAAGATAAAGTGGACGCCCAACAAGGAGCCCCAAAATACACTGGACGTCCACACTCGAAATGTGTCCTACTAAAACACATCCCTCTTCAGGTGTCCTGAACACAACGCGTCTTTGAAGCTTGCCTGCTGCAAGTGAAGGCTCTGCAACTTGTCCAGAAAGAAGAGAGGAGAGAGCCTGCTTCCCCGCCCAACGGAGCCTTCCCGGGAGACAGATTTCTGACAGTTCGCCCGCTGCTGCAGCAGCAAAGGGCGGAGAAAATCCCAGGGATGGGGCCGCCAGCACCTCTCCAGCCACCGCCCCCCGGGCAGGTGCTGACCCCGACGGGCAGCCAGCTGCTCCAGAACCGAGTACTTACCCGGGTCGGCCCGGCCGTGCTCGGGAAGGACCGCTAGCAGCACGAGTCCCAGCAGCAGCGACGGCAGCGGCTGCGGTGGCGGCGCCTCCTGGGGCGCGCGGGCCCCGGGGCTCCTCACGCCCGGGCAGCGCGCG